AAATCAGTGGTTAAGTTGTATTTACAACACTGTTCCAGAACAGTTTAACCCAAATATCCAGATGTGTGCAGCACATTTTATGGAGGACCGTTGCTGGCCAATCACAGCACACCTTGCTTTTTCAGACCGATGAGCTTTGTAAAAATCGACGCGTTTCAAAAAGGCGGGGCATAGAGGAGAAACAATAATGTACAGTATGTGGAAAATAATGTGTTTTTTTTTACTTTAAACCGCATAAACACATTTCATTACACGAAATACACAAAATAATGTTCTTTTTAGCAGCATCATATGACCCCTTTAACAGAAACACCAGCAAGCAGGCATGGATGATGTTTGTCACCTTTTTTTTTTTTTTGTAATGCAAATTCACTAAATAACCCAGTTCATTATTTGTATCTAGTAGTTTTTTAAAAGCCTGGTATATATATTTTCTAGACAACAGTGTCTGCTAAATGAATAAATGTAACTAAATGCAAAATCCAGATGCATGAACATATGGATTGTTAAAAAATCTGCTTCAGCTGTAGATGTTTCAAGACAAAATATTTGAAAAGATTGTGGATATTTCACAGGCTTGTGCCCTTCTCCCTCCCCTTCTCTATTGCTTTAACAACAGTTTGCTCAATGGTTGTAATTGCTTCAACAGCTTCAATACATTCATGAAGAAGATCAGCAGTAAACTAATGGAGTTTCTGACTTTATTAATATTTTATTGTAGGTATAATATTGTAAAAAATGAAAACAAGTGATACACATCAAGATGTTTGTTAATTAATATGCAAATGGTTATTGTTGAAATTGTCACATCAGCTCTTAAAGGCCATTTAAAACGGAATGTGTTTTCCATATTCAGTCAGAAGGGGGAGCTAAAGCAATATCATCTGCATTAGGAGAGACATGTTGCTGCATAACTGAAAGCATTAAAAAAATCAATGGTAAAATGTAATATCATATTTGCAATTTATATGTTTTATGTTCCATTAATATTAAACATAACTCATTTAGGAAATTATAGATTTTAGGAGATAATGGAAATATTTAAATATTATTATTATACAGAGTGTTTAAAAACTACATTTTTAAGGCCTTGTTATTCCATGTTTGTTCACTTGTTGGCACTCCAACTGAGTTGAAATGACTGAATCTGAAGTTTTTAAAAAGATTATCACATGTCTATCACTCATAAAACATAACAGGAATTAATTTCACATCCCATGATGATTTGTGTGTGAGTGATGTTTGACCTTTAGTCTAAATCATTCACAAGGTGACATTCTGGATCACTATAAATGCAGCAAAAATCACTTTTATTAATTATGAATGATACAAAATGCACATAAAATCATGTTCAGAACAATAATACTGCAGAAAGTCATTTTCATTCATCAGAATTAATTTATCTAAAAAATGAAGAAAAAAATCAGGTGTATTTTTTAAATATATTTCAAAATAGTAAATGGCTAAAATTTATTTTGAAATATTTATATAATTACATGTTTGATAAGTTTACTTTTAGCATTCACCCAAATTTATGCAGAGAGAAACAGAAATATCTGCATGCTTAAGATTCCTGTGAAACTATTTATCAGCATGTATTTTAGCAGAAGCACATTACAACTGCTGGAAACAGAAGCAAAGACCAGGAGACTCTTGAGTATCTTCAGCAGGACTCTTTACTGAGTGTTGTGTGGTGCTGTCAGGCATACATTGTATTTTACAGTTATCAGTGGCCAGTCCTTAAAGGTGTTGACCTTACACACATTCTCAGAAGTGACCATTTAATGAAAACATCTAAAGACAACACAGGCGATCACCCCAGCTATTAGCTCCAGCAGACCCTGGGTCTGAGACCTCCATGGGTCTGATGAAGGTCTAGTCTCTTCCATGTTGTTCCCATGTTGATCTGATGTCATAAACCATGCACAGCAACAGCAGCCACACCCACCACTGCAGCAACGACCAATCGGATCACAGCTTCAAAAGTATCACAACAGCAGCTACAGTCTAAAAAAAGAAAAAGAGCACTGAATCCGAATTGTGCATTTAGGGTCTCTTTCAAAGCTCAAGCATCCATGAATATGTACTAATATGTAATATTAGGCTGTGTTTGGACAAAACAATCAGTGTGATTTTTAGACTTTAATCAACTTTTTATAACCTTGCATTACCTGATTTAGATATGACATGATTTTTAAAAAGGAAATATTCAATATCACCGTTGATATGAGAGATCAGTCTGGTAAATAGGCTACACACTAACAAAAATTCAAAGAGTCTGAAACATCACAGCTGACGTACCTGTAGCTGGATCTGTACTGAGATCCTCAGTGTGTTTTACGGTTGAATTGTTCAAGGCACAGCTGGACGACACACATTTTTCTGGTGATGAGGAGCTTTGTGGAGTTGCTGATAATGACAGATGTTACTGTAATGTTATTGTGCTGATACAAACAGTCCTAATCCTTATTTTAAATTAAAGCTGTCAATAAAATGTGTGAGTGTTGTGTTGAGAATGTTGCTAATTTTATATGCAATGTGGAAATGCACCACTAGGGTCTGTAGAGAGAACCAGCTGAGGATGATAGAAACGTGAAGAGAAAGAGAAGAGGCTTGTGAGTGAGTGAGAGGAGCCCTGTGTCCCAATGTGCAAAATGTCTTGTATGTGCGAACAGAATGTGTCTCAGAGCATAGTGTAAATTGAAAAGAGTATGCCAAAACTACCGGAACTGTGTTTTTCGAAGTGTGGATCCGCGCACACTCAGCTGATCGACAGCTTCAATACATTCATGAAGAAGATCAGCAGTAAACTAATGGAGTTTCTGACTTTATTAATATTTTATTGTAGGTATAATATTGTAAAAAATGAAAACAAGTGATACACATCAAGATGTTTGTTAATTAATATGCAAATGGTTATTGTTGAAATTGTCACATCAGCTCTTAAAGGCCATTTAAAACGGAATGTGTTTTCCATATTCAGTCAGAAGGGGGAGCTAAAGCAATATCATCTGCATTAGGAGAGACATGTTGCTGCATAACTGAAAGCATTAAAAAAATCAATGGTAAAATGTAATATCATATTTGCAATTTATATGTTTTATGTTCCATTAATATTAAACATAACTCATTTAGGAAATTATAGATTTTAGGAGATAATGGAAATATTTAAATATTATTATTATACAGAGTGTTTAAAAACTACATTTTTAAGGCCTTGTTATTCCATGTTTGTTCACTTGTTGGCACTCCAACTGAGTTGAAATGACTGAATCTGAAGTTTTTAAAAAGATTATCACATGTCTATCACTCATAAAACATAACAGGAATTAATTTCACATCCCATGATGATTTGTGTGTGAGTGATGTTTGACCTTTAGTCTAAATCATTCACAAGGTGACATTCTGGATCACTATAAATGCAGCAAAAATCACTTTTATTAATTATGAATGATACAAAATGCACATAAAATCATGTTCAGAACAATAATACTGCAGAAAGTCATTTTCATTCATCAGAATTAATTTATCTAAAAAATGAAGAAAAAAATCAGGTGTATTTTTTAAATATATTTCAAAATAGTAAATGGCTAAAATTTATTTTGAAATATTTATATAATTACATGTTTGATAAGTTTACTTTTAGCATTCACCCAAATTTATGCAGAGAGAAACAGAAATATCTGCATGCTTAAGATTCCTGTGAAACTATTTATCAGCATGTATTTTAGCAGAAGCACATTACAACTGCTGGAAACAGAAGCAAAGACCAGGAGACTCTTGAGTATCTTCAGCAGGACTCTTTACTGAGTGTTGTGTGGTGCTGTCAGGCATACATTGTATTTTACAGTTATCAGTGGCCAGTCCTTAAAGGTGTTGACCTTACACACATTCTCAGAAGTGACCATTTAATGAAAACATCTAAAGACAACACAGGCGATCACCCCAGCTATTAGCTCCAGCAGACCCTGGGTCTGAGACCTCCATGGGTCTGATGAAGGTCTAGTCTCTTCCATGTTGTTCCCATGTTGATCTGATGTCATAAACCATGCACAGCAACAGCAGCCACACCCACCACTGCAGCAACGACCAATCGGATCACAGCTTCAAAAGTATCACAACAGCAGCTACAGTCTAAAAAAAGAAAAAGAGCACTGAATCCGAATTGTGCATTTAGGGTCTCTTTCAAAGCTCAAGCATCCATGAATATGTACTAATATGTAATATTAGGCTGTGTTTGGACAAAACAATCAGTGTGATTTTTAGACTTTAATCAACTTTTTATAACCTTGCATTACCTGATTTAGATATGACATGATTTTTAAAAAGGAAATATTCAATATCACCGTTGATATGAGAGATCAGTCTGGTAAATAGGCTACACACTAACAAAAATTCAAAGAGTCTGAAACATCACAGCTGACGTACCTGTAGCTGGATCTGTACTGAGATCCTCAGTGTGTTTTACGGTTGAATTGTTCAAGGCACAGCTGGACGACACACATTTTTCTGGTGATGAGGAGCTTTGTGGAGTTGCTGATAATGACAGATGTTACTGTAATGTTATTGTGCTGATACAAACAGTCCTAATCCTTATTTTAAATTAAAGCTGTCAATAAAATGTGTGAGTGTTGTGTTGAGAATGTTGCTAATTTTATATGCAATGTGGAAATGCACCACTAGGGTCTGTAGAGAGAACCAGCTGAGGATGATAGAAACGTGAAGAGAAAGAGAAGAGGCTTGTGAGTGAGTGAGAGGAGCCCTGTGTCCCAATGTGCAAAATGTCTTGTATGTGCGAACAGAATGTGTCTCAGAGCATAGTGTAAATTGAAAAGAGTATGCCAAAACTACCGGAACTGTGTTTTTCGAAGTGTGGATCCGCGCACACTCAGCTGATATTTCCCACAACGCTTGGAGGATTAATTTGGTTTAGAACTACAGACACGAATAAAAAGAACTACAAATATGGCGGATGTTCGCGAGACCGACGGTTAGCCGAGACGTTCTGAAAGCGTTTGAGCTGTTAATAATTAACATCTGACCTGGTGAAACCAAATTCATGTAATGTTATATTGTATTTCATAATAGTATTGTGAACTTTTATAAAGCATACAGACAATTTTTTTTGCCATTTACTGTTTTGTTTGTTTGAAGGCTGTTTGTTTGTTTGTTTATTTTACACAAAAAAAACATGGTTACTACACTTTTACTATAATAAAACCATGGTTAAATTTTAGTAAGAGCTCGCATGAAAGACACATGACTGACAAATCAACATGCTACTTTTTTTCTCCAATAAGGTAGGCTTAGTAGGCAATTGTTTGAGTAGTGTAAATTTAATTAGGCCTAATTAAAATTTGCATAGTTTATATGAGGATGTGACAGGATGATATAGAGGCAGGTTACAAAAGTTATACATTACATAATCATGTCTTTGAAATGGGCCCTTGTTGCATCAAAACTGGATCTCGTTTTAAATAACCAAATATTAACTTGTACCAAAACTTGTCATCAGGTTTTCCCATGCTTCATAAGTGTGATTCAATATGTCATTTTACTGTGCGCTGCCGAAACGATTGAGGCATTCTGCATGTAGTAAACAAACAAATTAAAACTGACGAAACAAAGTAGTGTTAGTACAATTATTAAGACAATAGAGAACTGAACACATCAAGTTGCCTTGGATTTTTTTATTTTCTCAACTATTTATATATTTATTTATCTATCTATTTAAGTCACAAATAAATCAATAGATAATTTAATTTGAAATAGTGGACCACAACTAACAACATGTTGGTAAGAAAATAAAAGCACATTATGGCGTATTTTATTTACAATGGGAATAACAGTGAAACAATGGTTGCAGATTTTGGTCACTTTATTTTAAGGTCCAGTTCTCACCATTAACTAACTATTACCAACGGCTTTCGCCTCAATAAACTTCTAATTACTGCTTATTAGTTGGCAGTAAGGTAGGCCTAGTTGTTAAGTTTAGGTATTGGGTTAAGGATATAGAATACAATTATGCAGAATATGTACTTGATAATACTAATAAACAGCCAATTTGCTAGTAATATGCATGCTAATAAGCCAATAGCAAGAATTGGTCGCTATACTAAAGTGTTGCCCAGATTTTTAACAGAACCGTATTACTGTACTAAAACTTCAAGAAGACACATTAATAACTTAACAACCAGATGCCACAAGCACAAACCATAATCCTTGACCATTTGCTAACCAATCTAATTTAATAACACTGCAAAAATCACACTGATAGACCGACATGAAGTACAGATGATGGACTGTGACATCAACAAAAAAAATTTGGGTTTTGCAGTACATGTTTGTCAGCACTTCCTAGTATGAATTATTTTTTATAAATGATTGTCAGCATTTGACTGTATTTACTGACAAACAGAATCAATAATATCAACATTACAATAAATGTACTGTATGTGTGTCGAAAGCAGACAATTTCTATTCATTTAAAAATACTCCAGCCTTGTTCAGGGTTTGTCTGTGTCTAGAAACGGCCCTGCATTAGTGTCACACATTAAGACACTCACTTTTCGACACCTACTGGTGAAAATAAATGGCAGTGTAGGCCTAACACGTGGAATGTGAATGAACTGAACAGAATTTGTTTCTATATTCAGTCACAAGAGGGAGCTAAAGCAGCATCATCTGCATCAGGAGATTCATATGTGGCTGTAAAACATCAGCAAAAAGCATCCAAATAAAGAAACAACAAATATTAAAAAGTAAAACATTTTAGATTCATATGTTGCTTGCAAATACTTTCATTTCACCAGAATACACAAAAACGTTTGAATGGCCTTCAGATGAGGAGGTTTCCTCCTTTTCCCAGAGTGTAGTTACATCCTCTACCAGCAGTAAATGAAAATACATATACAAGAAAAATGCTCAAAAATGCAAGTATTATAAATGTCCATTTATTTTAAAAGCACACTGAGATTGAGAAAAATAAGCTTTCCATTGATGTATGGTTTGTTAGGATAGGACAATATTTGGCCGAGATACAACTATTTTAAAATCTAGAATCTGAGGGTGCAAAAAATCAAAATATTAAGAAAATTGCCTTTAAATTTGTCCGGTAGGAAATGTACAAAATATCTTCATGGAACATGATCTTTACTTATGATTTACTTTACTTACTTTACCTAATGATTTTTGGCATAAAAGAAAAATCAATAATTTTGACCTATACAATTTATTTTTGGCTATTGCTACAAATATACCCATGCAACTTATGACTGGTTTTGTGGTCCAGGGTTACATTTGATATAACCATCTCTGGAAACAAAGATGAATTCAATCCCCATCACTATGACAGGTGCTGAAGACATTTAATCAGAGTTCAGTGAGGAAACTGAGCTGCCAGATAATAAAGTCTGTTAATAACACACAAATCGCTGAACAATATATTGAAAGTTTTTTCACAGGAGCTTCTAGTGATGATGATCAGATCAAATCTGAGTCAAAAACAGAATCAGACTGTGATTTTATACATAATTTAGAAAAATATATTTTTATCACGTTAATATACACTTCAAAAAAGTGAAGTGAAGTCATTATTTACAAAGTTGTAAGTTTGAAGGCCTTGTGTTTTCATGTTCAGTCACTAGTTGGCGCTCCAGCAGGGTCTTTAGGAGACATGTGTTCTCTGTACACCATTAAATTAAAACAGTGGTTCTTAATCCTGGTCCTGGGGACCCACTGCTCTGCACATTTTGTATGTCTCTCTTATCTGACACACTCAGTTCAGTTAATGGATCTCTCTCCTGATGAGCTGATGATCTGAATCAGGTGTATCAAATAAGGGAGACATGCATTTTAATGGCCTAATAGTGTCTCTAGTATTTGTCTTCCAGATAAAAGAGTCTGCTAGATGAATAATTGTAAGTAAATACAGAATCCAGAAGCAATTGGGTGCATTAAACATATGGATTTTTGCTAAATCGACTACAGCTGTAGAAGTCTTAAGACAAAACGTTTGAACAGATTGTGGATATTTTAAAGGCTTGTGCCCTTCTCCATTGTCTCTTTAGCAACAGTTTGCATTGTAATTGCATTAGTATTTTATTGAAGTGAAGTGACTTGTGGTCAAGTATGGTGACCCATACTCGGAATTTGTGCTCTGCATTTAACCCACCCAAGTGCACACAAA